AACGAACTACATCCCCAGCCCACAATTTTTGAGATGATTTTAAACCTATAGTAAATATGACATGGCATGGTTATCTATTTAGATTCTTTTTGCTACACCAATGGTGTACAGGGGCTACTCCTGGCTCTGTGTTCAGAGGTCACCCTGGTAATTTTGGGGCCATGGTGTGAATTAAGGTCAACAGTATACAAGGCAAGTGACTTAACCGCTGTACTATCGTCCAGCCCAATAGTTCTCTCTTTTAATGATAGAAATAGTTAGCTTGTCCTTAAATAAAATATGATGGGTCCAGAGAGATGGTGCAGTGGGGAGGGCCCTAATCTTGCATGTGGCTGGAGTTCCATCCCCAGCACCAAATAAGATTCCCCCAAACTCCACCAGGAGTGATCCCAAAGCACGGAGCCAGGATTAATCCCTGAGATCATCAGGTGTGACCTCAAAACCAAAACCAACCTTTCCAAAAAATTTAAAGTCTGAATATCACACTCTTCACAAAGCAAAATTATATCCCTTGGTATCTGAAATACAAAACAAGCTTTACTTTATCACTTCTATCTACTGATTAGATTATATTTCAAAGTACTAATCTTTGGTTGGCAGGAGAAAGATAGTACAGGAGATAAGACACTTGCCTTGCATGCTGCTGACCCTGGTTAGAATTCCTGGTACCACATATCCTGAGCACTGCCTGGAACAATCCCTGAGCATAAAGCCAAGAGTTAGCCCTGAGCATCACCAGGTGTAGCCCAACCACCCCTCACGTCTCTTGAAAAAGATTCCAGAGTTTTATGGTACATCTACAAAATGGAATAGTACTCAGCCATTAGGAAAAATGAAGTCATTAAATGAGTTCATCGATTTACTCGAGCGGGCCCAGTAACGTCTCCATTGTGACACTTGTTACTATGTTTGGCATATTGAATACGTCATGGGTAGCTTGCCAGGCTTTGCCATGCGGGCAAGATACTCTTGGTCGCTTGCTGGGCTCTCTGAGGGGGGTGGAAGAATCGAATCTGGGTCAGCCAGATCGGCCGCTTGCAAGGCAAACGCCCTACCCACTGTGCTATCACTCCAACCCATGATCAGAGATCTAAATTGAGAATAATACTTAACATTTTAAAAGTCAAAATAGAAGAGTTAAAGTATTTGCCTTGCATGTGGTTAAATCCCGTTCAATTCCAGGCACCACATATGGTCCCCTGAACCTTGTCAAGAGTGATTGCTAAGTTCAAAGCAAGCACAGAGTCCTGAGCATAGCTTTGACTTATGCATGGCTGTTGCATATAATATAACCACTGTATCACTGTCATCCTGTTGTTCATCAGTTTCCTTGAGCAGGCACCAGTAATGTCTCCTTCATCCTAGCCCTGAGATTTTAGAAAGTGCTACATTGGAGGCTCTTTCAGGCTCAGGGGAATGAGACCCATCATTGTTACTGGGTTTTGGCATATCGAATATGCCATGGGGAGTTTGCCAGACTCTGCCGTGCGGGCAGGATACTCTCGGTAGCCTGCCGGGTACTCCAGGAGTAAGAACTAGATAATAATATAATATTGGATATTAAACTTGGGTTAGCCATGTTTAAGTCCATGCCATGACAATGGTAAGTTCTCTGGACAAGAACTGAGTGCTGAAAGGAGGTAAGTAATATGCATGATACACTTTCATTAATAGTATTGCAAAGCACAGTTCCTAAACAGAAAAAAGGGAAAAAAGAGAAGAAAGATATCTGCCTTAGAGTCGGGCAACAGGGGCTGAAGGGAAACAGGATATTGGTAGCTGGAAATATATACTGGTGAAGAGATGGGTGCTGGAACATTGTATGACTGAAATTCAATCATGAACAACTTTTGTAACTGTGCATCTCATGGTGATTAAAATTTGTTTAAAAATAAAATTATAAATAGTTCAGAGTTTCAAATTAGTTCAGTTGGATTCTACCAATTGATGCCTAGGGTTTGGAGAGGTAGTATAGGTCAGTGGAACACACTGCCCAGTTTGAATCCACACTACTACATATGGTCCCTTACCACCATCAGAGGCCATTCCTGTGCTCAGATCCAGGAATAGCCTCTGAGCACTGCTATACCAACCCCTATCCCCCCTGCCACCAAAAAAAAATTGTCTAGAGGACGAAACATATTTCTGGTCTTTTTTACTCTGCCATCTGAGATCCTTAGAATCTCCTCTATCTTCCTAGAATGCTCTCTATCTTCCGCAATGCTTGTTTTGTTTTTGGGGACCACACCCAGCAGTGCTCAGGACTTACTCCTGGCTCTGTGCTCAGGGATCACTCCTGGACGGCTAGTGCTGGGGATTGAACTGGGTTGGCTGTGTACAAGACAAGTGCCCGACCCACAGTACTATCCCTGCAGCACCATCCACTGTGTCTTTAAGTACTCATCAACCACAGTGGCTGTCTAGCTTCCCTACTACTAAATTATTCACAAATAGCAAAAATTTATTAATTGGATCTATTTATTTTTGTTTGCTCAGTAATCAAGCTTGATTGGGCTCTCTGTTTGGATACTTTAATGCATATTTTGGTAATAGTATGTTTAAAATTCAAAAGAAAGTTCCATAGCTATTATTTGAGGTGAGGGACCCGGGTTATTTTCTGGATGCCATTCTGTTTCTGTGTATGTTGATTAGAGAAACATATTTGAAGTCATAGAATGGGTGGGGGGGAAGTCATGGACTTTTTGGTGGGTGGGTTACACCCAGTGGTATTCAGGCATTACTCCTGCTTCTGCACTTAGGGATTATTCCTGACGGGCTTGAGGGAACAAATGGGATACTAGGGATCAAACCTGGCTTGGCTGCATGCAATGCAAGTGCCCTACCCACTGTACTATCTCCAATCCCAAAATTCATGGACTTTAAGGAAAAAACATCTGGTTCAATACTAGTTTTATTATTTATTATTTAGATCTTAGGGCTGAAGCGATAGCACAGCGGTAGGGCATTTGCCTTGTGCACAACCAGCCTGGCCGAGCCAGGTTCGATTTCTCCACCCCTCTTGGAGAGCCCGGCAAGCTACTGAGAGTATTCAATATGCCAAACACAGTAACAAGAAGTCTCACAATGGAGACGTTACTGGGCCCGCTCGAGCAAATCGATGAACAACGGGAGGACAGTGTGTGTGACAGAACTTGAAGCTCAATCTCTTCAACTGTTATACACGTACAAGTAAATTTGCTATGCAGGGTTGTTATTAAAGTTAGAAAAAAGAAAGTAGAATATATTAGATAATTAATAATAGGTACACTCTTTATTGTAATTTGAGCTGGAGTGATAGCACAGCGGTAGGGCGTTTGCCTTGCACGCAGCCAACATGGCCGACCCGAGTTCGATTCCTCTGCCCCTCTCGGAGAGCCCGGCAAGCTACCGAGAGTATTCGATATGCCAGACACAGTAACAACAAAGTCTCCAATGGAGACGTTACTGGGCCCGCTCGAGCAAATCGATGACCAATGGGAGGGCCTTTACCTTTTATTGTAATTTAATATAAAATACAACTTCATTATTTTATTCTTTCAAATTTATAACATTTTCATGGCTTTCTGTTTATTTTTTAAAAAAATTTTTTGTAATGTAGGAGCACTGCTATTTATTCAGCCATTGATTAAGCTGATTGAATTGGGCATGAACTCCACATTACATTTTTTTTTAATTTTTAAATTTTATAAGTTAGTTCACAATGTTTGATTACACTCAATATTCGAATACCAATCTCACCATCATTACACCTTCCCTCCATCAGATTCGGGATGTTTCCATCCCAAACCCCAATCCCTGCCACAAAACACAACCAAAGCAATATATTTCGTATGGTCTGTTATGAAGAACTGCTGAACGTGCTTACAAAAAAGTGTCCATATAGGAAACAGTGTGAAGATTGTTCTGTTTTGGCAGGAGCCGTTAAGACAGTCTATAGGATATCACTAACATGTTGTTAATGTTTGGGTGGTGTGAGCTTTAGCATACATATGTGAAAAAATGTATATATGCATATATATATATATTTCCCTCTATGATTTGTTGCCTGCTATCTAAACCCCATCAAATGTGGTGTGGTAATTATGGAGAATGGTCAGGGAGTGTTTTATGATGTTTTGCGTGGCCGCTTTTGCAGCCACACAGTCCAGGAACATGTTTACTCATATGTGAGGCTCGGCCCGAGAGTGTGGGGAGTGGCCTGGAGCGTAGTGGCGGTTGGACTGTGGAGGTTTTCAGCTGCTGGAGCTGGGTCCCTTGGGTTGGGAGGGCTCTCACCTGATCCCTTTGGGGCATCCTGTGTGAAACAGCCTGGTGCGGAGGCCGCTTTATGGGGCCTCATTTTATGCTCCCTTATGAGAGAAGCAGCCGTGTGATCTGGTTGGTGGCCAATGATGACATTATCTGGTGCTGGCAGGAGGTGACTTATGGGTGTGACCCCCTGGGTCGCCGGAGATGGGGGAAAGCGGGCAGAGGATCTCCGCTCCTGGTCCTATTGAGCCCAGAGTCCAGGGTCACAAAGTTCCGCATTACCTGTTCTGTAGGACTTCACTGATGCGTGAGGCTCGGCCCCAGCATGTGGGGAGCGGCCTTGAGTGTAGCACAGGTTCCCGCCTACCTCTGCGCAACAGGCCCTAACTGCGTCTTTTGATCTCTTTTGAGATGTATGGGTCTCTGAAATAAGGACAATAAATGAACTTATAACTGAGCCGGAGGCGGTTTGTGGGTGTGTCTCCCACGTACCTTTTGGCCGTTTTATTTCTTGGTAAACTTAGCTCCCAAGTTGTTGGGGTCTGGCCAAAGGCACAGCAGCAATTTTGGCGTACCTGGAAGTCTGAAGGTACCATGAGGCTGCTGATGCAGGCGCCACACAGGTACAAGCTGACCTGCTGGCGGCATCATACCCCTCTCTATTTTTATTGTGTCCTTGTGGCAGTGTCATAGAGAGCATATAAAATAATTTTGAACATACCCCTTGACTTATTTTCTTTTAGGATTTTCAAATGTCGTGGAAAGAGGAACTAGAAAATTTGAAGAGAGAGAGAGCTGCTAGAATCATTCAGAAGGCCTGGATAAATTTCCTTGTGAGCTTTCTTCATGAATTTCTTCAGCTTTATCAAGATATAATTTATTTATTCTGACATTTACCTGTTAAAAGAATATATTTCAATTTTTTTAGAATATTTATAGAGTTGTATACATTAGTTTTAAGAGTAGACAATTTTTAAGTTTCAAAAACTTAACACCTTATTGGTGTCATAAATGTATAAGTTCCTTATCTGGGCCAACCACTTTAAATTTTTTTTTCTTTTTGGGTAACATATGGCAATGCTCAGGGGTTACTCCTGGCTTTGCACTTAGAAATTACTCCACAGCAGTGCTGGGGGACCATATGGGATGCTGGGAATTGAACCCGGGTTGGCCGCATACAAGGCAAACACCCATTAAACTATCACTCCAACCCAAATAATCTATATTTTTAACAGTTTCTATTAGTCTGTAGCACTGTCCTCCCGTTATTCATCGATTTGCTTGTGTGGGCCCAGTAACATCTCCATCATAAGACTTCTTGTTACTGTGTTTGGCATATTGAACATGTCACGGGTAGCTTGCCAGGCTTTGCCGTGCAGGCGAGATACTCTCGGTAGCTTGCCGGGCTCTCCGAGAGGGGCAGAGGAATCGAACTTGGTTCAGCCAGGCCAGCTGCTTACAAGGCAAATGCCCTACTGCTGTGCTATCACTCCAGCCCTCTATTAGTCTACTTCTTATCAATACTTAAGCTTTTCTGTATTTTTAAACTTTTCTTTCACATCTAAATCCAGCCAACCACATACCTTTGAATACTTTTATTTTCCATGCTTTTCCTCTGCATTTTCATCCTTGTTCATAAGGAATTTCAGTAGGAAGTCTTGAATATAAACAAAAAACTGTGTTTCTCCACTTATATGTTTTAACAAATTGGTAAATTAAGCACTACTTGTACCCTAAGCCCTGATTTTTCACTGTGTCCTCAAATACCTCATTAAAATAGTATAACAAAAGTAAACAGAGAGAAGTGTGAAAGCAGATAAGAAATTTTTGTTAAACAAAATTTTTGTTAAACAAAAATAGCTGGTAACATCCTGTTGGACAAAACTGTGCAAAAATTGTGTTAATGACCTACCTGCCTAGAGACACTTGAGAGGGATTCGACGGAGAATCCTAGAACGGGAATCCTAGAAGGGATATAAATTATGAATTAGCTATTTAAAGGAGTTATGGGCAGGGAGCTAGTAAAGAGCTTATGTCATTTGCTTTGCAGGTGGCCAGACTTGGTTCCCTGAGCACTACCAGAAGTGATAGTGATGCCTGAGAACGTGCCTGAGAGCCCAAAATAAGCCTTGAGCACCTCCAGGTGTGGCCCAAAATCCAGTATAGTAAAATTAAAATAAAGAGAGGAACTGGAAGATAGTGTAGTGATTAGATGCATGCTTGGCATGTGCCTGACCTAGATTTGGCTCCTAGCACTATGCACTCTCCCAAGTGTCACTGCATGCAGCAGTAGAGTCCTCGGAGCACTGTAAGTGTTAAGTGTGGTCTGAGAGGCCCCTAGCACTGCCAGGGTGACGCAGGTATGCCCAGCACTGCAGAGCCTGAGCAGCAGCCCATCTTGTGCTATACCTGTCGGCAGAGTATTGCTGGTGGGCCCCTAGTAGGCCTTGAGCGTTGCTTGGGAGTGCCTTCCCTTTCATAATTATGTAAAAGGACAGAAAGAGGGAGATGGGGAAAAGTAGCTGAGCTACTCGCAGTAGTAGAGTGCGTGTGTTGCATGCTGAGGCCCTGGGTTCAATCTCCAGCCTAATAAAAGGGTTGGAGGGAGAATGACTGTAGTCAGTGTGCTTGGTTGAAGGACTTTGGGAAATTACTGTGCAGTGGTATCTGTTATCACTTTCATACTGAGAACTGCAGGTAAATGGATATTCATTGTTAAGCAAAAAACCAATAACGGTCAAAAAAATTAAAAGTCCTGAAGACTTATCTCTTAAAAAACAAAATACCAGTTCAGTAGTATAGTAGATAATTCATCTAGGTGTTGGAACAGTAGTAGGTAAATAAGAGATGTTAAAACACAGCATACTCAAGCTAACTCCCTGGAAGAATTGACACAAGTGTTCATTTTCAATAGCAGTGGAAGGCTAGAGAGATGGTACCGTGAGTAAGGCACTCGCATTGCATGCACCTGGTCCAGTCCAATATCTGACAGCACAGATACCTGAGCACCAAGGGGAAGAACGACTGAGTAGAGTCAGGAATAAGCCTTGAGCATCACTCGAGTGTGACTCCAAAACAAAAACTAAACTAAAGAGTAACAGAGGACATTCAAGATCACCTGATATTTTAGAAAATCCAGTAATGAAAGAAATAAAAATAATGGTCAATTCAGTTATATCAGGAAGATGAATGGCAGGGGCCATAGAAATAGTGCTACCGGTTAGGGGCTTGCCTTGCATGCATTTGACCTGCACCCCATATGGTCCCTGCCAGGAGGGAGCCCTGAGCACTGCTGGGGTGACCCAGAGACAGACACACAAAGAAAATAATTTGGTGCTGCTCGAGGACATTTGTTCAAACATGAAAAGTAGAAGGGTTTGTGAATCAGTAAAATTGCTGTAGGAATGAATAGGATTTTGTGTTAATAAAAGATAATGGAAAGTCCTGTTGTGCCAGAAGTTTTTCCTTTTACTTTTTCACCATAGTTGTACAAAATGGCTTCTATCCTTCCCTTCTTTCAGTTGAAGAAACTGAGCAAAGAGATTATATTACTTGTCTAGACTAATAAGTATTGACGATTAAACTCAGATAATTTCATGCGGTACTCAATAATCTTTTATTATTATTATTTTGTTTCCTGGACCACACCCAGCTGCTCTCAGAGCTTGCTCATAGCTCTCTATTCATGGATCCCTCCTGCTGATGCTGGGGGTGGGGGCACCATATATATATTGTGCTAGAGATCAAACTTGCGTCAGCTGAATGCAAGGCAAGTGCCTTACATGCTGTCCTATCTCCCTGACCTCAATATTCTTTTCTTTTTGGTGGCGAAGAGGGTCACACACCTGCGTTGTACTCAGGGCTTATTCCCTGCTCTGTGCTCAGGGGACCATATCGTATGGTCAGAGATTCAACTTGGATTGGCCACTTGCAAGGCAATCACCATACCTGTACTGTAGCTCTAACCCATATTCAATATTCCTTTATTTTTTTAAGTGAAGCAAAATCACTTAGAAGGAAATGAGAGAGAGAGAGAGAGAGAGAGAGAGAGAGAGAGAGAGAGAGAGAGAGAGAGAAGTATGTATTCAAGAGAGAACATAGCTTCTCTGGAAGAGGTACATGTTCAAGAGATGACACAGAATTGAAAGAGAAAGCCTATACTCTGTATTCTTTTTTTTTTTTTTTGCTTTTTGGGTCACACCCGGCGATACACAGGGGTTACTCCTGGCTCTGCACTCAGGAATCACCCCTGGTGGTGCTTGGGGGACCATATGGGATGCTGGGAACCAAACCCGGGTTGGCCCTTTGCAAGGCAAACGCCCTACCTGCTGTGCTATTGCTCCAGTCCCCTATACTCAGTATTCTTTTGTTTGTTTGTTTTCATGGTTGTGGGGTGGGTGCCACACCAGATGGTGCTCAGGGGTTGCTTCTGGCTTTGCATTCAGGAATCATTCCTGCTGGGCTTAGGGAACCCTATAAAGTGCCAAGAAGAGAACCTGCATTAGCTGCATCCAATGCAAGCACCTTAGCACTGTACTGTGACTCCGCCCCCCCCATGTTTGATATTTTTAATCACAAGATGTGCTTGCCTTTCTCTTAGTTTACTCTGAAGTATACAGAAGTGACCCAGTCAGAATTCTGAATATTTTATTATTGCTACTGATAAACTACAAATTTGAGGTTATTGTTTTTATGAGAATAAACTCACTATTGCTGGAACCAGGGAGATAGTGCTGAGGGTTAGAATGCATGCCTTACGTGCAAAAGTCTATAAATTTGATTCCCAGAACTGCATGGTACCTGAAGTTTTTCTTTTAATTTTTCATGAATAACCTTCCATGAATAACCCAACATATCCCCCAAGCATCACTGGATAGACCCAGAAAACAAGCCATAATTTTCTTACTTGTTCAAGAAAACCCTTTGTGGAAAATATTTCTAAAATCTAATATTTTGTTTTAACTTACTTGTGCTGGTTAGCTATTTAGAGGTAGAAAATCCAGTTTTTAACATAAAATATTCTATGTTTACACCTTAGAATGTTTCTGTATTTCAACAATTTAAAAGTTTAATTAATTTAAGAAGACAAGGGGAACCACGTCAGATAGTGAAATACATAAATCCTGTAGAGGTAAGAACACAATATTTTGCTAGAGCACCCTTGCCCTTTAAAAGTGTGGCATGGCTATTTTATTAAACCAGCGTACTTGTGTTTGTTTCTTTTGAAAACTTTATTAAAGCATTAAATGTATGTAGAGACATTTATAAAATATAACTGTTCAGCCCTTGAATTATTATAAGCCAAACTTTGTGTAATCATTATTTAGAGCAATGTTTTAATATTTTAAGCTTCTTTAGGTAGCTCTTCAAATCATTGCAAACTCCCTTTTCCGAAAAGACAATTATTATTTTAAGTTGCAGTTTTATACTTTAGTTTTCAGTGGTATAAAATTCTACTTAGCTTGCCAAAAGTATATTGATTTTACTTTTACAAAAGAACCAGAGTTAGTATCTTTGATTTTTCTCTGTTGATTTACTGCTTTATTATTTCCTTTCTTCTAACAATTTTGGATTTAATGCTCTAATTTTCCTACTCATAGAAGTTTAGATTTTTAAATTTCAAAACTTTTTGTTTTCTCATATATGTATTTAATGCTGTAAAATTTCTACTGAGCATTATTTTGGGTTTTTATTTTCTCATCTCACAATTTTGATGTTATATTTTTGTTGTCATTAATTTTAAATGTTTTTTAGGCCAGAGAAGAGTAAGGTGCTTGTTTTGTATGCAACTGACTACAGTTTGATCCGTGGCACTGCATATGGTCCCAGCCAAACTGCCATGAGCATTCCTGAGCTCAGACCAGGAATAGACCTTGAGCACTGCTCGGTATGGTAAAAAAACAACAATAACAAAAAGGTTTTTGTTGAGGAAGGCTGCACCAGGAGGTGTACAGGCATTGCTCCTGGTGGGCTCTGGGCAACATATGTGGTGCCGCGGCTCAAACCCTCTTTGGTCACATACAAGGTAAATGACTTATCCACTGTACCATCATTCTGTCCCATCCCCCAGTCCCCAAAGATAAGTTTTTAAAAGTGTCTCTTGAGAATGCTTATTCGTCCTATTCATTATGTAGAAATGTGCTATTAAATTTTCCAGTTATTTTTCCTTAATGATTTCTAGTTAAGTTTTATTAGGGTATGATTGGTTTGATTTCAAACCTTAAATTTATTAAGGTGTGAAAAAAATTTATTAAGGTGTGATGTCTCAGAATCTATTCTTTGTAAATGCTCCCTGTAAAATGCTCCTTGATAAAAAGGCCTATTCTGCTTTTTTGGGATTAAGTATTCTGTGTCAGTTAAATTCAATTCACTGATGGTAATATTCAAGTATGGCCTTACTGGTTTTTATTCTGTTGACTCTATTGAATACTAATAGAGGCATGTTGAAGTCTCCAAATATTTGTTTTCTCTACTTTTTCTTGTAGTTCTATTAGTTTTTGCCTTATGTATTTTTATGTTCTGTTGTTAGGTGCATTCATACTATGTCTTAGTGAATTGATTACAATGCATTATATAATGACCCTATTTCTGTCACTGTCACTGTCCCCCTGTTGTTCATCAATTTGCTTGAGCGGGCCCAGTAACGTCTCCATTATGAAACTTGTTGTTACTGTGGTAGGCATATTGAATATGTCACGAGTAGCTTGCCAGGCTTTGCGGTGTGAGCTAGATACTCTCCGTAGCTTTCCGGGCTCTCCGAGAGGGGTGGAGGAATCAAACCCCGCTTGGCCGGGCAGGTTGCACGCAAGGCAAACCCCGTACCACTGTGCTATCCTTCATCAATCTCCTTGCCGCAAATTCTACCTGTCTGGAATTAATGCAGCCGATCAGCTTTTGTGAACATGCATATAATTTTTGTTTCGTTTTTGGAGCCTTGGGGGCAACACCTGGTGATGCTCAGGGCTTATGTCTCTGAGCTCAGGGATCACTCTTAGCTCTGTGCTTGGGGGGCCATGTGTGGTGCCTGGGATTGAACCTGAGCTGCATGAAAGGCAAATGCCTTAACCTTCTACTATCTCTCCAGCCCCTGATCGATTTTCATTTGGTTATTATGAATTTGAATTTATCTTTATCCATCCCTTGGCTTTTTAACTTTTGTCTTGATATCAAAGTAGACAACATAGGTCTTTTGACTGTCTCTGCCTTTCACTGTAATACTTAGATCAATGTTGTATAGAGTGATGATCAATAGTTTGATTGATAACTACTATATTGTTGTTTCCTATGCTGTTTGTTGTCCTTGCTTGTCCCTCCCCCTGACTCTTTTGGTCTAACCCTCTTTTTCTACTTTTTAAAAAAAATTAGTATTTTATACAGTTCTGCCATCTTTTTCTTGATGTATCCCATCAGTTATATTTCCTTTTTTGCTAGCAATTTATCTACTTAGATTTTCATCTCTTTTGGGGGGAGGGGGCTGTTGAGAATTTTTGGTCACATGCAGATGTGCTCATGTGGTCATTCAATACTCAGGAAATGCACCTGGTGGTGCTTAGGGAACCATGTGGTGCTGGGAATCAAACCTGGACCTTCTGCATTAGAACATGGGCTCGCTCCAGCCCATTAAACTTTTTCTGGCCCCGCTTTTACCTGATTTTGTTGACATAGAACACATAGTATATCTAATTTAAATAGCATTAGTCTACAAAATAACTGCAATATTTTTATTTTGCTTTATTTTGTCTTGTTGTGTGCGGGGCAGGACACCCAGCGGTGCTCAGGGCTTACTCTTGGCTCTGCATTCAGTAATTACTCCTGGTGGTGCTTGGGGGAACTATATGGGATGCCAGGGATCAAACCTGGGTCAACCAGGTGCAAAGCAAGTGCCCTACCTGATGTAATCTCTTTCTGGCTCCATCTCCCGGTTTTTCTGATGAACTTAAGTGACAAAATCATAGGAAAGGGACCTGCCTCATACACATAGTTTACTCCCACCCCCTATTTGAGCCTGCTGGAGGCAGAAGATAACAAATGAAGCTTAAATCTAATAAAATCTCTCATAGTCCTTCATGATTGAGAAATAGAAGGATGCATTAAAAAAAAAGAAAAAATTAGAAGTGGACAAAATAGATACAGGTTACAAAACTGCAGTCTACATTTAATCAAGCTCAGACTCAAATTAGATGAACATGATCATACCCTTATGTGAGTTCGTGTGCAACATGTTTGGTGGCTGAGAGCCACCTCCCAAGGCCTACCCAGCAGAGGAACCAAGAGACAGGAGACTCTCAGATAGATGGTAAAACTGGCCTGTTTACTGCAGAGCTATTAGCATACTTATAGACTTATAAAACATCTGAGGGGTTCAGAGTATATATGTGATTGATTATTTACAGAGATAAAGTGGTTTTGAAGGGGACAATTATCTTGAGGTGATTGACTCAAGGAGACACTGTCTCCCAGGGCTACAAGGAGAGATTTGCCCAGGGGTGACAAACATTATATTGCTTTTCTCTTTCCCTTGCTACTAGTACATATTAAACAATTAAGTTTACTTCTCATTAATACTTGCAGTTATTTGGATAAACCCAGTAAGAGATACCGATTCCAAAACTTATTTCTCTGGGCTCTGAGGGCAAGCAAAGTTTTTACTGTAAATCCCAGACTAAGTTCTCAAGCTGGTTCAGCTTATATTTCCCCCTGGGGTCTTCTCAACTCATAACGGCTTGTGTCAAGACCATGCTTTTATGCTTTCTAGACTGTCCCAATTTGATACCCGTGTAGCTTTGCTGTTCATCCTGGGTCCACCCAGGTCCTATGGTGGGATGCCCCATTTTGGGGTGTGTGTTAGGAACAACGGCAACTGAAGCCTGAGTCAAGTAATGATGACAGATGCCCAGGAGTAGATATAATTCAGAGTCAAATAAACTCCCAAGTATTAGGAGCACAGCATTAGCAGTACTTCTGTGTTTAAGCAACAAACATTGTTCTATAGTAAAATATGAAAAGGCTATAAGGGAAATAGGAGAGAAAGTAATTCACAAAGTCTAGAGTCACCAGAAGGTTTGACTTCTAAGTAGCCAAGCCTGACTTGGTGAATCTAGTAACTCACACAAAGGAAAATTAAAGATAAACTTGGGGGATTAGGGGTGCTTATAGCTTCTCTGGGAGGAGAAAAAGGGCAATTTACTGATAAAGACTAAAGCCCTTGGGGTTAAGTTCTAACACTCTTACCTTAACTGAATGAATAAGAAAGCATGAAAATCCATGGAGCTATACATTTGAGATTTGCCCACTTAATTGGAAAAATATTATATACATTCGATATGCCAAACACAGTAACAACAAAGTCTCCAATGGAGACGTTACTGGGCCCGCTCGAGCAAATCGACGATCAACGGGAGGGCCTTTACCTTTATATATATTAAAATTTTATAAATTGCTTAGCACGGTAGCACTGTCCTCCCGTTGTTCATTGATTTGCTCGAGCGGGCACCAGTAACGTCTCACAACAAATTGTGAGACTTGTTGTTACTGTTTTTGGCATATCGACTACGTCACGGGTAGCTTGCCAGGCTTTGCCATGCGGGCAAGATACTCTCGGTAGCTTGCTGGGCTCTCTGAGAGGGGCTGAGGAATCAAACCTGGGTTGGCCGTGTGCAAGGCAGATGCCCTAACCACTGCTATCGCTCCAGCCGAGCTTCAAATAGAAATCTTAAAACCGTTACTGTACATATATACATATACATTATATGAAGTGTCTATGTAAATATAAGATTGAGTCAAGAGAAAATGATTCATAACTAATGTCTTTTTTTTTTCTTTTTGGGTCACACCGGCAATGCACAGGGGTTACTCCTGGCTCTTCACTCAGGAATTACTCCTGGCGGTGCTCAGGGGACCATACGGGATGCTGGGAATCGAACCCAGGTCTGCCGCGTCCAAGGAAAACACCCTACCCGCTGTGCTATAGCTTCAGTCCCCATAACTAATGTCTTTTAGGTTTTATGGATGGAATAATTTAGGATAGCATCTATTTTCTCGCCTAACTTAATATATCCGGAGAAAAGGTTGAACTATGTCTCATAGAGGACCAAGTGGGTTTTCTCCCCCTACTTTCTACTTGGTGTACTGAAATGTCGAAGACTGAACTGAAGAGATAGGACAGGAGTCAAGAGGTTTGCCTAATGTGCAACTGGCCCTGATTTGATCCCAGCATTGCACATGGTTATCTCAGACAGTGCCAGTAATGGGCACTGAGCAAAGAGCCAGAAGTAGGCTCTGAGTACCAGTGGATGTGGCCCAAAACACAAAAAATAATAGCAAAATACATATAGAAGATCAAATATGTATAATTCTTAGAGAATTTAAACATGGAATTTTGGGGGGTTCTTTTGCCAACGTAATTTGGCATCAGTTTTCCTGCTATCAAGTAAACTTTTACTTACTGAGCTCTGTAAGAAATTTAATCTTAAAAAGAAAAGGAAAAACAAAATTTAATCTTAAGGGGCAGGAAAAATAGTACCGGTGGTAAGGTGCTTGCTTTTCAAGAGGCTGACACCAGTATATTCAATCCCCAGCACAGTGTATTAGGCATTGGGCACTGCCAGGTGTGATTCTTCTCACAGAGCCAGGAGTAAGCACTGAGCATAATTGGGTGTGACCTCCCAGCTCCTCCCAAAGAAACTAAACATTAAAATATTTTAAAATTTGAAATTATTTGAGATTCTTTCACTTGTTTCAAAGTTAATATCAATAGCTATTTTTACTTTAATGGAGTGAGAAGTAGAATGATGAAGAGTAATATGTATTTTTTTTTTAATAGGCAGAGTTTCTAGATTCTGCTGCAGGCATTCAAGTACGATTCAGATTAGGTGGTGTAAGTATGAATGATTTCTTACTTAGTGGTTTAAATTACACTTCACATTTATATGAAATTTAAAACATGTGATAGTTTTGAAATGTAAACCATTTTAATACGTGAGATGACAATGACTGAACTTTTTTATCTACAGACTAAATTTCCACCTGGTATATACTATAAAATTTTCACTCACAGACATATTGAAGATCTATGTGCTAATAGCCCTAGAGATTACACGAAACTTCCAGGAAAATATACTTCTCATATTAAAAGTGGTCATCTTCAAGAAGAGGATCATAAAGGCTGGTATCGTCGTATAGAGAACAATGGTTGGAGGCCTGTGTCTGAGAGAGTTGAGTGGAATAATAGTAATTATTTTAATCTATATTTGGAAACCTAAGCTTTTTGAAAATCAGTTTTAAATGATTTTCCTAAGTAAAAAATCCTTATAATTTAACTGGAGCGATAGCACAGCGGGTAGGGCGTCTGCCTTGCACGCAGCCAACATGGCCGACCCGAGTTCGATTCCTCCGCCCCTCTCGGAGAGCCCAGCAAGCTCCCGAGAGTATTCGATATGCCAGACACAGTAACAACAAAGTCTCCAATGGAGACGTTACTGGGCCCGCTCGAGCAAATCGACGATCAACGGGAGGGCCTTTACCTTTACCTTAACTGATAAAATCTGCTTAACAACTCCCGCATTACTAATCGTGCTTCAAGATACAGAGATTTTTCCCCCCTTACATTTACTCCTACTTTTAGTAATCAGTTTTGAATCTAAGTCATCTTTGGATAGTCTGTAGTACTCCTCAATTTACAATCTTTATACAAAGCAAAATTGAAGTTGTTTAATCCTCAAACTAGAGATGCAAGTTTTGGAAAACAACATGACTTTAATTTTCTCTTATAGAGCTTGTAGTAAGAAAGACCAGGGAGAAATCTTTTGAAATTTGATGATGTTGGAGAATTTAATATGTACTCGCATATGGGACCTGAATGATAGTACAGTGGGGAGAGCACTTACCATGCAGCTGATCAGAGTCAATCCCTGGCATCTCAGATGGTCCCCCAAGTCCACCTGGAGTGATCCCTGAGTGCAGAGCCATTGAGCACACAGTGTGTGTTCCCCTCCCCCCCCCTCAAAATAAAATAACATATACTCATATGATCTTAACAATCATATGTGTGTGTGTATTTTGTTTTGGAGCCATACCAAGTACTGCTCAGGGCTTACTCCTGGCTCTGCACTCAAGACTCACTCCTGGAGGGATTCAAGAACCATATGGGGCACCAAGGATTGAACCCAAGTTGGCTGTATGCAAGGGAACTGCCCTTACCCACTGTGCTATCACTCTGACCTCTCCCTAAACAATAATTTTAAATATTCATAACTCCCAGTGTATATATGGGACTCATAAATATTAATAACCATATTTAATCTCCTATTTGTTGGAATAATTTTAAGAGATTTGTAAGCTTATATCTTTAAAGTTAAAATGACTGATTCTCTAGCTCTAGATTTTGATTAGATTCTATTTAGATTTTGTTTGGATAAAGATTCTTCACTCAAACATTCAATCTCTCGCAAACAACTGATAGAACCTGGTATTAAATAAGAAAACTGGAAATGATCGAAGTGTGATTTATTCATTCAGCAATCAGTGTCTCGGGCATTGTACTAGATGCTAGGGAAACAATGGTAAATAAGACATAGTACTTTCCCTCAAGTAGTTTACCTTTAAATTAGGGAGACAGTGACAAAATAGAATATTTCAATACAGTGCAATACATAATTCTTTGTTCTATTTTGGGGGGTTGGGGCACTACTCAATGCAAAACCAAGGGTTCATGTACTCTCTCTCTGGCCCAATACATTATGTGCTTTAATAGGGATGAACATAGAGTGTATGGAAGATAGCAAACTTTCATCCTTGTTATTTAATGTTTATGTGTGGTGAGAGAGTGGAAAGAAATAGGAAAATAGAGCTAGAGAGATAGTTCAAATAATTGAGCACATACTTTGAATGCAGGAGGCCAGGGTCTGATTCCTGGCACCACATGGTCCCCTGAGCAGTGCCAGTATAGAGTGCAGAGCTGGGTATCGCCCCTGAATTCCACTCTGGTTTGGTCCCCCCAAAAATTAGGGAGAGGAGAGAGGAAAGAGCGGGAGAGAAGAGAGAGAGACAGAGAGAGAGAGACAGAGAGACAGAGAGAGAGAAAGAGAGATGGGGAGAGAGAGGGAGAGAGAGAGAGAGAGAGAGAGGGAGAGAGAGAGAGAGAAAAGAGAAAGAGAGAGAATATTGGTTCTGACTTTTTTTCCATTCTTGGAACGACATGGCCATTCTGAGTGTGGCCTTGGAGGTTCCTGAGCACCGTTGGAGTGGCTTGGGGTACTCTTAGCACCACAGGGCTCAAGCGGCACTGCATCTTTAGGCCCTAGCATTGAATGCCCTCTTGGTAGATGGAGAATTGTCAGGAGAGGCTCTCAGGCCCTGAGCACCACTTGGAAGCCTTCATCCCCTCCAACCAGGCTCTATTCTTTCTTCTGTTTCTACCTTAACATATTCTTACTGAACAGAAACTCTTTTCTGTAGCCAGGTAATCTCACAATCAGTGTCTCAGTGTTTTGTATATAGTTTGTCCATTCATTTCTCAATAGTTTTGGATATCCACTGAAAATGATATAATAGACAACAATAAAGAAAGAGAATTCCATTTCTCTAAACTGAAGAGAAAGCAAGATCTGGAAAAGAAAAGAAAAATTAGAAAAATAGAATGGATGAAGCAAATGTAAGTTAATGAATTACACTTAGTAGAGAAGAATTTGTATTTAATGTTTTTTTAATGCTACATATATTAACTACATGTCATTTTTGGTTTAGATATATTTGAATTATATAGGATGATATATATAGTTTAATTAAAATACATAGTTTTATATCATGGATATATATGAACTGTTTATAGCATGGATGTATAGTAACTGTTTTTATAGTACAGATATATATTAACTACAGCTATCACCTATTCCAAAGAATTCACGTATTGCTTCCTTTCCTCTATTCAGGTACTATGCAGGATCCCTGAAGGCTAATTCAACAAATTATAGGACTCTAAGTTTAATTAACACTGCAACAAAAGGACTAATAAAAGCTATTGAAGATGGAGGAATTGATTCTGTGATGGAGTGGGAAGTGGATGAAGTGTTGAACTGGACAAATACGCTGAATTTTGATGAGTAAATACATATTGCTATTTTGGGGGAGCACGAATAGGCATCATATGTTTTCCTCTCTAACATTTCCCACCCCTTTGTTGAATCTTCGAGCCTCTAACATAGTCTTTTTATTTTTTTAATTTTATTTTTATAAAGTTGTTAACAATAATTTATACATTTAATATTCCAACATCAATCCCACCACCATTATACCTTCCCACCACCATATTTCCAATGTTCCCACCCCGCCCCCCAAGTCTGCCCAAAGCAGGACCTAAATACAATTTTTTTGTATTGTTATCGAACATAATCTCTTTATTTTTTCATTTTTTAAAATTTTATTTATTGAATCACTGTGAGAGCAGTTACAAAGCTTTTGGGTCTAAGTCTCGGTCATACAATGAAACACCCGTACCTTCACCAGTGCCCATTCTCCACCACCAAAAACCCTAGTATATCCCCATCCCACACCCTCCCTCCACCTGTGGGGCAGATGATTTCCACATTACTCTCTCTCTACTTTGATCACATTCAATATTTCGACACCAGACCCACCATTATTATTTGAGATTTTACCCCAACACTCAGATATGCTGAAAAGGCAACAATAGACAATTTGTGTTCTATTGCTGGTTATGAATAACATATGATGTTGCGTGGCTGCAGTAGGGCCATGTGATTTTGAAATTCCGAAATTTTAAAAAAAATTTTTATAATTTATTTATTTATTGAATCACTGTGGGAAAAGTTACAAAGTTTTCAGGTTTAGGTCTCAGTCATGCAAATATCAAACACCTTTCCCTTTACTAATACTTATTTTTTACCACAAAGAACCCCAATAAAACCCCACCCCCACCCCTCCCAATGCCTGTGAGGCAGATGAATTCTAGTTGACACTCTATCTGCTTTGATTAGATTCATTGTTTCAATAAAAGATGCACCACTGTTATTTAGAGTTTACCCCCTCCCCCCAAATCAGACATGCTGAGAAAGCATTGTGAAGTGAGTCGCTTTCTACAGCTGGGTTCAAGAATTAAATGTTGGTTTTGGATTTCCGCTATTTTGCTAATTAACCCTGGAAGTATTTCTACTGAGAGTCAGATAATTAAGAGATTGGTTTCTGTGCTCTGGAGTCATGGCCGTGCTGGAGAGCCGCTCGTGGGGGGCAACTGGTGGCCTCGGTAGGGCGTGAAGGACGGACCGGAACCCATGAGGTTTTAGTCGCCCCCACACCCCCGGCTCACACCTGCTCTCCACAAGGCTCCCATGTGGCCGCCATCTTCTTTCCAGAGAGGAGAGGGTGAATGGGGCAACACCCTTTCCCCTCCAGGCAGACATGATGGCCTGAATTAACGCATAGTCCGTTCACTTTTCTGCTCCAAGCTGCTGGGTTCTGCATTAAGTCCTTGTGCTTCTGGGGCTGTGGCCGTGCTCCAAACTTAACTCTGATTTTCAGGGAGAAACGTTGGGTGATTTACTTCCCATTGATCACTTTGTATATATAGAGATGTCGTGGGGCCGCATGAGCGGCCGCGCAGTTTGGAGGAAAAGTCGTAGTTCCCACATACTCGAGCTATGCTTGTGGAGGCTTCTGGTCACCGGGGTTCCATCTGGGGGAGGTGGGATGCGGCACCTACCCCATCTGGGACTTCCCGGTGATCTCGGCTCTTTTTGGAAGCTGGTGCCTTCTCCGGGAGCTGTGGAGCCAGCCCTCCATGTGGCCCTTTTCTGAGGCTGTATCCGAACATAATCTCTTTAAACACACACACACACACACACGCCGCGCGCGCACACACGCACACACACACACACACACTATGGCTCAGCAGTAAAGCACATGTTTGGGGTCCTGAGAACTGAAAAAAATAAAGATCAAATTGGATAGAACACACATAATTATATATTATTCATCAAAAAATAAAAGAGGGAGAACCTTTGTAGCTCAGGTTCAGTTCCCTGAGCACCACTGGGAGTAGTCCTAAAACAGCCAGAAATAACTCCTGAGCACTGCTTCATGTGGCTCAAAAACAGAAAAGGAATAATCTAAAAGAAAAGAAAAAAATATCTTTTCTTCTGAAATTATGTTCTTATGCCTCCAATCATCATTATGTCTACCTTTGGAATTTACAAAGTTTAAGAATGTGGAACTTGGGGCTGGAAAAATAGTACAGCAGGTAAGGCACTTGCCTTGCATGGGGCTGACCTGGGTTCAATTCCCTAGTACTTCATAACCCCATCATGTGTGATTCCTGAGCACAGAGCCAGGAGTAAGTCCTAAGCACTGCTAGGTTTGGCCCAACCCCCTGCCCCCCAATGTAGATAGATATGTAAAGTAAGTAAGTAAGTAAAGGCCCTCCCGTTGATCATCGATTTGCTCCAGCGGGCCCAGTAATGTCTCCACTGGAGACTTTGTTGTTACTGTGTTTGGCATATTGAGTACATCATGGGGAGCTTGCCAGGCTCTGCCATGCGGGCGAGATACTCTCGGCAGCTTGCCGGGCTCTCTGAGAGGGGCGGAGGAATTGAACTCGGGTCGGCCATGTTGGCTGCATGCAAGGCAAACGCCCTACCACGTTTCATATATATAGCACTATAGATATGAAATTAATGAAATTCTGTGGCTTAAGTAGAAGTGCACACGCCTAACATATGTAAGGTCCTGAGTCCCATCCTTGACCCTGCATGCTACCCCTTCCCAAAGACTAAGCAGGTGTGATAGCCCTAATCTTCCTGTATGAGATGTCAAGAATAATAGCTCTAGGAAATTGTTTTTAAAAAATTTCATGTGAGGGGAATTTAAAAATATTTAGAATAAGCACTTTTTGTTTTTAAGTGCCAGGGATTGAACCCAGCACCTCACAAGATAGAGGAAGGCTAACGCTCTATCTCTGAGTTACATCCCCAACTTGAGAAATGGTTAATATAACCAAGAGTATTGCACTCAGAATCACAATAAATTCCTACTTCATATCTAAGAAGATATGTGTAGTAGTAAGTGTTGGCAATAATGAAAAAAAAACTGGAATTCTTTCATACTGTGAATAAGAATGTATATTGTGTATAGTGTATAGCCATTTTTAAATTTAGTGTATAGCCAAATTTAATTAATTTTTAATTGAGGTAACCTGGTTTAGAACAGTACCATTTGTGCTTTAGTATATAATGTTATTGCACCAAAATTTCCATTGCAGTGCTAGTACCCCTCTGCTACTGTCTCTAGGTCCCGTTTTTCCCCTTTTTAAAAAGAAGTATTATACTGGGGCCAGGAGATGGTACTGTGGGTAGGGCATTTGCTTTGCATGAGGCCAACCCCTCCCTGGTACCCTCTGTGGTCCCTCTGAGCCTGCAAGGAGTGATCCCTGAACATAGCCAGGAGGAAGCCCTAAGCACCACCAGGTATGGTCCCCATTTTTAAAAAAGTAATATAGTTTTAAACAACATGGTTGTTACAATTCTATTAATGTTTATGGGTTTGAGGTATAAAGTTATTGCACCTCACTGCCATCAAAGTGGCGAAGACCCTTTTTGGCACTTTGTATCATTTCTAGTTACCTCTTCATTATCCTCTCCCTTCTCAACTGTTTGGTAATTTGAAGTTTGTAATCCAAGGTCAAGGCTTTGTCATTATTTGATACTATCCTCTAGTTTTGTTTTTCTGTATACCACATATACCACAGATGAAGGAGATTATTGGTATTTATTTACCGATTTGATTTATTTAGCTTAACATCCACAAGATCTTACCTTTCATTATAGCTTAGTATTCCACTGTCTATACAAACCATGATTTCTTTCCTTTTTTTTTCTTTGTTGGGAGCACACCCCACAGTGCTCAGGGGGCTATACTGACTTTGTGCTTGGGAGTTCACCCCAGGTGGTGCTCAGGAGAACATACAGTTCCAGGAATTGAACCCAGACCCCTTGCATGCAAAGCAGTCCAGTCCATTGAGCTATCTCCCTGGCCCTACCATAACTTCCTCAGCAACTCATCTATTGTTAGATATTTGATTGCTTCCAGATCTTCAGTATTGTAAACGGCACGGTAGTGAATATAGGTGTGCTTTTATCTTTTCAAATTAGTATTATTTAGCTCTCATGATACATACCAAGGAATGGAATTTGCTAGATCATTTAGTAGTTTTAATTAATTCTTGAGAAGTTTTTGTGCTGTTTTTCATATAGACTAAATCAGTTTATAGTTCCACCAACAGTGAATGTTTTTTCCCCACATCCCTACAAAACTGGTTGGTTGTAACCTTTGAGATATAACCATTCTCACTGGTGTGAGGTTATATTTAGTTTTTATTTGCATTCTTTTATAATTACTGATGCTGAATACTGTTGGCCACCTGAATGTCTTTTTTGTCTGATCAAAATTACTCTCTAGATTTTTGAGGGGATTTTTATTGTTGTTTTAGGTTGATGGTAGCACCATTGTTATCCTTTTCTTTACCAGTGGAGTTGAGTCATTGGTGTCAACTTTGAAGTTATTTTCATGGTTACTTTATTTTTTTTATTGTATTTTGTGTGTAACTTCAAGGTATTTAGTTCATTTTATGTTTTGTGTGTGGTATGTGACAGTCCAGTTTTAATTCTTTTCATTTGACTAACCTTTTGCCCTTCATTCATTGAGGCTTTCTTTACTCCACTTTAAACTCCTTTTGTAAATTTACTGTCATATACATATACATACATACACACACACATATATATAATTATACATTCAGGTATAATTTTGGACTCAAATTCTAATCTGTGGTCTAGAGTCTGCTTTTATTCCAGTATCACACTGTTTTTGATTACAATAGCTTTGTAGTCCAGGAATGCAATGTGTCCCATCCTCTCCTTTATCAAGATTGCTTTAATTTTATATATAAATCAACACTATTTGATTTTACTTAAAGAATGCTGTTGAAATTTTGATAGGGATTACATTGAATCTGTATATGACTTGAGTAGGATGGTCATTCTGAGATTGCTAATTTTTCTAGTCTGTAATCATGACATATCTTCCCATTTTT